ATTTATTTATTAAGATTTTATGTATTTATTTGAGAGAGAGAATGAGAAAGAGAGCGAGAGCATGAGAAGAGGGAGGGTCAGAGGGAGAAGCAGACTCCCTGCCAAACAGGGAGCCCGATGTGGGACTCAATCCTGGGACTCTAGGATCATAACCTGAGCTGAAGGCGGTCATCTAACCAACTGAGCCACCCAGGTGCCCGGGATAATTTTTGTTGATCTATTTTCAAGTTCACTAATTCTTTTTTCAAACATCTTGAACCTGCTCTTGAATACCTTTAGAGAAGTTTTCATTTCAGTTATTATACTCTTCAACTCCATTATTTCCATTTAGTTATTTTTATTATTACTTTTTATCACTTTAAAGTTTTTTTTTATTTATTTGAGAGAGAGATTGAGAGAGAGAGCGCCCAAGCAGGGGGAGTGGCAGAGAGAGAAGCAGACTCCTCACTGAGCAGGGAGCCCAGTGTGGGTCTCAATCCCAGGACCCTGAGATCATGACCTGAGCCAAGGGCAGACGCTTAACCGAATAAGCCACTCAGGTGCCCCTTTATTTAAATTTTAAAAAATGATTTATTTATTTTAGAGAAAGAGAGAGTGCACACAAACAGAGGGAGGGGCAGAGGCAGAGGGAGAGAGAGAACCCTGAAGCAGACTCTCCACTGAGCATGGAGCCCAATGCAGAGCTCCATCCCATGATGCTGAGATCATGACCTGAGCTGAAACCAAGAGTCAGACACTAAACTGACTGAGCCACTCAGACACCCCTCCATTTAGTTATTTAAAAAACTAATTTCTATAATCTAATCAAGAGTGTCTTCTTGTTGATTCTTTGTTGTCCTACTTTCCTCTAACTATTTAAACAATGGTTTTCTTTAGTACTTTGAATATATTTGTATTAACTGCGTATTACGAAGTTGCATGCTCTACCAAATGAGCCAGCCAGGCGCCCCCTTGTAGCTGTTTTTGTTGTTGTTGTTGTTGGGGGGGGTAGATTATTTATTATATCCTCACTTGGCCATAGCTGGAAGTCCTGCCCTTTCAATCTACTTTTTGGGGGTGGGGTGAGGTCCTATTATTTAGGTGTGTCTCTTATAAATGCCTTATAACTGGATTTTCAAAAAATCCCGTCTTTAACTAGAAAATTTAGTCTATTTATTTTGCTTAAGTGGTGTTTGGATTAATTTCTAAACTCTTATTTTATACTTTCTACTTATTCCAATGTTTGTTTCTTTATTTTCCTCCTTGACCTCTTGGATTGAGATATTTCCTCAATATTTGGGACTTTTCCTGTACTTCTTTGGAAGTAGTACACTTTATGGTATTCACTCTAGAAAATGTAGCATGCATATTTATCTTAACAAAGCTTAAAAGTATTCAATACTGATAACGGCCATAAGGTAGTAGCAGGGTCCAGAATTCACCTTCGCGCCCTACATCACTCGAAAACTTGGCAAAATATATGAATCAATTGTTTTCAGATGGGGGACAATAGTCCCTGAAGACCCTGGAACAAATTAAGTGAGCTTCACCATCCAGGCTTTCTGACTCAAGTAGAAGAAACGTAAAACGTAACTCGTAATGATAACCAAACAATCAGCCTATGAAAACAGACCCAGGCGAGTTCCGGCTTCTGGTCAGTGCGTCATCAACAGGCAACAATCTTACATCCATCAGAGAAGTGAGGTGACGGGGCAAACCACTGCTCCAAACACTGGACAGGCAGAGTTGGAGAATCACAGCTTAGCAGAGCAGAGCTGGGCTGGGAAAACCTGAACTTTAATTGAGGGATTGCTTGAAGTTCAGGGTGGACACGTCTGAAATTTCAAAAAAAAAAAAAAAAATCCGGGGAGGGGTGGCGCTGATCTCAGGGAGGCCCCAACGCTTTTAAGAATTTTATCTCCAGGAGCCCTCCCAGGTTTGCACAGTGAAGATTGGTGAAAAGTCTCACGCTTCCGGTGGCGGGAGGGGAAAGTAGACATTTTGAAATACACCAGAGCGGTCTGGTCTTACAAGGCCCGCCCCCAGGGCAAGTTAGTGCAGCAGATCCTGACCTACTGGGGTTTTATCAGAGTCCAGCAGAGGGCAAATATCCAGGTATAGCCCCTTCTAGTCTTCCTAGCCCACCTTACAGGCCTGTATTGAAAGGACACGTCTACAGAGAGAATTCATGCTTCTGCCACACTCTTGGGCAATCCTCCCTCTGGATCACTTCATTTAAAAGTTTTAAAAAACGTATTTTTAAAACTTTGCTATTTTTATTGGGCTGTTCCAATCTAGTAAAATCTGCGTGCAAGCTAAGCAAATGAAGCTTCTAGACAAGTCCCGGAGCTGTGCTCCCAATCAGACCATTGTCCCTTAGTTCCTCCAAGAAGAAAATCCTGGAGCATCCAGTGCTCGATGTCTTTATCTTTTCAATTAAAAATTTCACCTTGTGGCTATAAATTCTTGAGGGCCAAATTTCCCTTTTTTCCCCCACTTCTATCCAGATCCAATATCAAAATAAGCAAGTACCCCCACCCCTGCTTTTGGTGGGCCATTTTTTTTCCTAGGTCACCAGTTGTATTGGTTTTATGCTGCTGCTGCCGCAATCTCAGTGGTTTAAAACAGCAACAGCGTAGGCTTCCGGGTGGCTCAGTTGGTTGAGTGACTGCCTTCGGCCCAGGTCATGATCCTGGAGTCCTGGGATCGAGTCCTGCATGGGGCTCCCAGCTCCATGGGGAGTCTGCTTCTTTCTCTGACCTCATGCTCTCTTCCCTCTCTCAGATAAATAAATACAATGTTAAAAAAAACAAACAGCAGCAGTTGATTCTCTTACAGTTCTGGAGGTCAGAAATCCAACACAGGCGTCACTGAACTGCTCCTCCAGGAGATTCGAGGGACGAGTCTGTTGTTCTGCCCTTCCCAGCTTCTAGCGGCCGCCTGCATTCCTTACTGCCTCTTCCCATCTCTCTCTGGCAATGGACCTTTGTTTCCATTGCCACGTCTCCTCCTCTCACTCTCCTGCATCCCCCTTTCCCTTGTAAAGATGCCTGGGACGATGTTCGGGCCCACCCAGGTAATCCAGGACAGGCTCCCCATCTCAAGACCCTTGCCTTAATCACGTCTGTAGTGTGCTTTTTGCCACTTAAGGTAACATATTCACAAGGGCCCAGATTTAGGATGTGGCCATCTTTGGGGGGCTGATACTCTGCCAACCATGCCCATCGAGAGCATTGCCCGTCAAGAATGCTGGCCTCATGTGGGAGCCCAGGCAACATCACCCAGCTCCCATGGGAGGCATCGGGACAGCTGTAGGAAGAGGGTGTTCAAGGAGTGGTGGCGGCCTGGGCTCCTGGTTCCTGGGTGCGGACGCTCCCTGGACAGACGCTAGCCTGGGGGCCGTCTCCTCTGGACTCAAGGACCCACACTGTGAGTGCAGAGCACTTGTTCCCACCCACCCTCCAGCTTCCCTTCCACCTCTTGCTGTGTCTCTGTGGTTGGAAATCATTGTTTTAAAGAATGATTTGAGAGAGAGTGTGCACGCACAAGTGGGTGAAGGGGCAGAGGGGGAGGGGAAGCAGAACCCCACTGAGCATGGAGTCCGACACAGGGCTCGATCTCATGACCCGGAGATCACGAGCGGCGCTGAAACCAAGAGCTAGACACTTAACCGACTGCCAGGAGGAGCCTCATTCGCAGTCCAAGGACCAAATTCCATGCTGCGTCAGCTGAAGAGCCATGAGCTTGGACGTGCAAGACTGTCCCTATCCCTCCCCAGCTCTCGTCCTCCTGTGGCTCCCGTCAGCCCACCCTGAGGCTTGGCTCTGATGCCAGGCCAAGTCTTGGGGCTCGGCTGCCAAACCCTGTGGTCAGTGCTGGGTCCCCGCTCCCTCGACCTCTCCACAGCACCAGACACTCAGCATCATTGGGGTCTGTTGTTCGGTGTGTGGCCCAGGGTGGGGGCGGCTCTGTGGGAGACTGGGCCGGCAGGCCGCGTGGGGCCTGGATGGGAAATCATGGCGCGAGGGCTGGTAGTGTGGGAGTCCCCTACCAGCCCCACGGCGGGAGGCTCTGCGCACCGGCCCCTCTCGGGAGGCCTCCCTCTCCACCTTCCCCCAAGCCCTCCAGGGTGCTCTGGAAACAAGTTCCTCTGTTCGTTTGCTATCTTACAGAAAGAGTTTATTCAGGAACAATTCAAGAAAGCAACCGTGGTGTGGATTCCCAAGCGTGAGATGCTCCCACAGCAAGGACTGGGGGCCCTGGGCCGGGTGTGTGAGCGCGGACCCATGCACACATGTGTGCATGCACACCGCCCACCAGGGGTGTGCCCTGCAGTGAATGACTCTGTGTGTGCAGCTTGGCCCCTTCCCCCGCCCCCCAGATCAACCAACTGTGGCTCTGCGGGACCCGCAGTGGCCAAACCCAGGCCTCCTTCTTCCCCTTCCCCACCCCCAGCTCTTGCCCTGAGACCCCCATCTCCCCCAGCGGCAGTGTGGCTGCCCTCGGCCACAAAGAGCCCCAGTGATCCCTGTTAAGACATCTGGGGGAAGAGGAAAAAAAAGCATCTTTTCAAACGTCAAGTGGATAAACAGGGCGCCAGATGTGTGGCCTGCAACGGCTTGGCTGCTCCCCGGGCCACACCCGCCCCTGCAGCGCTGCCCAGCAAGGAGCTGCCGGCAGGGAGAGGGGCCTCGGTGTGCATGCCCTGCAGCCAGGGCAGCTCCGAGCCCATGTCCCCGGGGAGGCCCTCAGCCCCAAGGAGCCTAAGCCCGTGGCAGAAAAGCAGGGAGGTGACCAGCTGGCGGTGAGCCCCTCCCCAGAAGCGGCCATTTGGGGACAGGGGTGGGACTGTGAGCAGGTCCCCAGAGCAGGCACCCAGAGCAGGCACACACCCTCCTGCAGGGAACAGCTCCAGGGAGGCTTGAGGCCCAGGAATGGGCAGCCACCTGGATCTGTCCCTTGGAATGGGAATCCCCCCCCCACCCCCCAAACAAAAAAGTAACAGTCGCAGAAGAGGCAGGTTCTGGAGCGTGGTTCCGCCCGAAAGCGGCGCGGGTCAGGCCGGTGGCCCTGGCCCAGCTTATAGGCACATTTAATAGGATTCCCGTGGATGTTTCAAGTGGGTAGGACAGGTCTCCCCCGCAGCCACTCTGGAGGGGCTCCTGGCTCCGGCCTCTTCCCAACAGCCCTCCCCTGAGGTATTGCGCTCCCCCCCCACCCCCTGCCTTGCTTCCGGCTGAGCCCCCTCCCACCTCCCCCCCAAGCACACGGGTGGTCAGGGGCACCCACTGGGGGGTGGAGCGGGCCCCTATGTGGGGTCCAGCTCGAAGACACCATCGCTGGTAGGGGTGGTGAAGAAGGAGGGCGGGTCGGAGGCCGAGGACTTGTGCCCCCCGCTGCTGCGCTCCCGGGCGCGCAGCTCCTCCAGCCGAAGGCTACGCTCGAAGTCCAGCAGCTGCCCCATGAAGTTGAAGTTGGGTGAGATGTTAGACTTCTTCCGCTTGACCAGGTCGTACGCATCGTTGAGGGAGAGGTGGCGCTTCTGCATGAGGTAGGCCACGGTGACGGTGACAGAGCGGCTGACGCCTGCCAGGCAGTGAACGAGCACCCCGCAGTTCTGGGACAAGGCCTCATCTAGGTGGGGGCAGAGGGGAAGGCGGGGTGACAGGCGAGCCCGGCCCAGCCCCGTTCGCGGAGCCAGGTGGCTCTGGCCACCTTTGGCCTGGGAGCCCTGTCCTGCCTGAGGAGCCCTACGGCTCTCGATGGCGGCCTCTGGGAGCTGGTTCCAGCACCGCCCAGACCCCAGCAGTGCTGGTCCAGTCTTGGGCTCTGGGGATGGGGGCTAAGGCCCGGAGGAGCCGTCCTGAAGGAGGGGCAGAGGCCTCAGAGGCAGGCCTGGTGGGGGGGGGCAGGGAGGGAGGAAGAGGATTGCAGAGCAGACTCACCGATGAATGCAATGGCCTCAGGAAAGAACTGGGACAAGTTCTGGCTCCAGTGGTCTGAGATGGGGATCTGCTTGTAGTGAAAGTCACCATTCTTCTCGAAGAGGTTCGGGAGGTTGGGGGTGACGTTGAGAATGTAGCGGATGCCCAGCTGGGCCAGGCTCTCCACGTTGGCTGAATCCCGGGCGCTGCCCAGGTAGAGGTTGGGCAGGATCTGGACAGGGAAGGAGGGCAGCAGCCCCACTGGGGGGGGTGTGGCACCCTCTGAATCCAGGCCACAGCTCATGGCGTCGCGGTCCGGCTCGGATTCGGCATCAGAGCAGTCAGAGCCCAGGCAGAGGCCACCCAGCCCCACCACTGGGCTGGGCCCCGGGGCTGTGCTGGGGCCACCTCGGCTGCTGAGGCTGGTCTCACACAGGTGGGGACACTCCGCCTGGAATCTGCTGAAGCCGCCTGGGAGGGGAGAAGGGAACAGTTCCCTGGGGAGCGGGCTACTGAGGCGGCCAAGCACCCCTGGCGGCGGGGGGCGGAATAGGGAAATAACCCCGGACAACTCCAACCCCCAATGGGGCTTGCAGATAGTCCCAAAGGGAACTTGATTCTGCAGCCTGATCCTTGCTGGTGTCCCCGTGGGCGGCAACATGGGCGGCATGACCACCCTAGCTCGGACAGCGAGTACCCACTGGGCTGCTGGAGGTGGGAACTTCTGGGCTTAGGCAGAGCTCCACCCCCCCCACCGCAAGGGGATTTTACAGCCTCGGGTCCAAGCTGAGGGGAGCACGAGGGCTTGTAGTCTAGATGGGTGGCCACCTCCCATCCAACACAACCAGGGGCACCCCAAGAGCTGGAGCCTGGGAGAGAGCCCAAGATTCTACCTGGATCAATTCAAAGTTCCAAGAAGGGAGCATCTCCTTCGTCTACAGATAACATCTATTTTCCTGGGCTGGGGGGGGGGGTGGCAGCCTGGAGATCCAACACTTGCTGCATTCTGTGCTTTCAGAATGCAGGAGGGACGACAGTCTGGGGACACCCCCCCCACGCCATGAGGAGGTGCGGAGCTGGCTCTGTTGGTTCATGGGAACCCTGTTCCTACACTAGACCTTTGGGTGTGTGTTTGGCTCATCAAGGGGCAGAGGCCTGTCTCAGCCCTGCCATGACTATGATGGGACGCATCTCTGCCTTCTTCTGCCTTCACTGCTCCTCTCTCTCTCTCTCTCGCTTTCCCCTTCCCGGTTCCGGAGCCTTTGCAGAGCGGCTGGCCTCCGGTGGCCCCTGCCTCCTTTGTGGGTGAGCAGCTCCAGGAGATGGTGACCTCAGCCCAGGCGAGGAAATTGGGAGCCTGCCCTTGGTACTCCATTCTTGAGCATCCTCTAAGCCAAGGCTGGACCGATTCTCCCCATTTTCCAGACTCAGAAACTAGAGCTCCCCAGGGTGAAGGGCTTGCCCAAGGTCGTGCTCAGGGGAGGGGACGGCACCTCCACTTTCGACGAAATAAGTCTGGTCAACTAACCTAGGAATACCCTGGGAAGGGTGGCCCTGCCCCCTCCCCCCAGCGCCCCAGGGTCCTTCCCAGGCCGGGTGCCCAGCGCCCGCGCCCGCGCCCCCGACCACACCTACCCTGCAGGTAGTACGCCAGGTAGCCTTCCTCCCGCAGCTTCTGGAGCAGAGTGCCCAGCACCGAGTCGGCCTCCCACTCCTCGGCCTCCGCCTCCCCGCGCCGGTGGCGGCCCCCGCCCTGGTCGTACAGGAGCACCGGGGCGGGCGGGGGCGGCTGCAGCGGCGGCCCGGGCAGGAGAGCGCGCACCGACAGGCTCCCCCGCCGCAGGCGGCGCAGCAGCAGCGCGGGCAGCGCCACGCTCAGCGCCCCGCCGATGCGCGCCGACTCGTACAGCTCGCGGCTTCGGCAGTCCAGCAGCAGCAGCTGGGGCCGCTGGGGCGACAGCTCCCGACGCAGCCACAGGCACGAGCGGCCCAGGCCCTCCATGGGCTCGCGGCTCCGGGCACGTCGGACCGCCGGCGCTGCGGACAGAGGGCAGACGCGCCGCGTGAGCCCGCGTTCTACGCGCCCCGCAGCCCGGGGGGCCGGAGCCGCGAAGCCCCGCCCGCATCCTTCAGAGGGACTCCTGGGGTCCCGCAGAGACACCCCTCCACCGCCCGCAGCGAGGAGGCCTCTCTGCGCCTCGGGCCCCCCAAGGAAAACGCCCAGGCAGACACTCGGGCGCGCGGCGCTGCTGCCCGCTGCGGGAAGGTAAGTGTGAGGGGTCCCCCAGAAGAGGAAGGCCCGGTGCCCAACGGGCCCTTTGAGAGTCGCGGGTCCTTTCCCGGGCCCTTCTGGGGCGGCCCAAGGGTTCGGCCACGTCCTTTCACACCCCCTTCCAGCGGCTCTCGCTCGGCCTGCCTGCGACCGCTCCCCAAGTTCGAGCCTCCGACTTTGGGGACGTGCGCGTGTGAGAGGCGGACCCAGGGAGTAGAGGTGGCGCCGAGGGGAAGGGCCCCGGCCGGCCTTCTCCGAGCTGCCCCAGCCCTGGTGGCCCCCGGGAGGAGAAAACAGGAGAGAGACCTGGAGCGTGGTCGGGCGGCGGGCGGCCGCGCGGGGACTTCCGAGCCAAGGCCAGCGCGCAAAGCGGGGCGCCGTCCCCCGGTAAGGGCGTCCCGGGGCCCGGTCTCCGGGGAAGACGGTGGCTGGCAGGGCAGGCGCGCACGTGGAAGCCCCGAGTCCCGCGCCGCTCTCAAGCAGGCTGCTTCCTGGCAGCGGGACCCAGCTTCCACCTTGGAAGCCGCTGCCTTTGGACGTGGAGTGGCCGTTTGGAGGGGCGGGGCAGTGGGGGCGGGCTCATGGGGGCCAGCGAGCCAACGGGTGCCAGCGAAGCGGTCGGGTGGGCCCCCAAGTGGCGCGCTGAGCTGGGGCTTCCACCCAAGCGGGACAGGGGCCGGGGCAGAGGCCAAGGGCAGGTCAGGGGCCCAGCAGGGGACCAGCCTCGGTTCTTCTGCCCCTCACCAGTTGGCCGCTGGAGGCAGGGGGAGGGGTAGGGCTAAGTAAGAGCCCAGAGCCCCTGTCCCAGAAGCTGCCTCCGGCCCTACTCCCTCTCCAACTCCGACTGCAGTGACCCCCATCCATACATCAGAGCCACCCACCACCTTGGGCTTTTCACTGAAATCATGGAGGGGAGGAGGAAGCAAGACCAGAAACCCGCTGCTGTCTTCTGGCCCTGAACTCAGCCCAAGGGCAAGGCGTGCAGATGACAGCTTCTGGGGAACCCCCAGGGCTTCCCCCCTGCACAGGCGTCACCCAAGGCACCCAGGAGCTCTGAGCCTCCAGTCCTAACCTGGGGTGCTCTGCTCTTACCACGCTTCTGTCCTGGGAGTTATCCCCAGCGTCTCCCCCTGCCTCCTCCCTGGTCAAGAGCCAGGTACTTTGTACTTAAATTGATCTCTTACACCTTACACCTCTGCTCCCCGCACTAGCTGAGGGCCTGCACTGGACAGCGGTTGACCAGGGTGCCGTCCCAGCTTCCAAAGCCCTCTCCCCCCGCCTCCAGGGAGACCTGCCAGCCTCAACCACCCCCCAGCCTGCTCTGCCCTGCACCAGACCTTTGTTCATCACAGGCCAGAGGCCTCTACGCCTTCCACGGACACAGGTTGGCAAACGCACAGGACATCGGGGTCCCTGCTTTCTCCATGCTCCCAGTTTAGCGGGATAGGTCAGTAATAAACAGAGAGACTGAGCAAGATAATGCTGGGTGTGATAAGTGTCCCTTCCCCGCTTAAAACCCATCGAAAGCAAACAGCAGAGTTGAAGGAAAATGTAGAGCAGATAAGATAAAGCTTGTACAAATGAATCAACAGGTTAAGACTCTGATAAACAGGCAAGGAACCAGAAAAGAACCAGAAAAGACCGCTTGAGGGAAGAAATGCAACTGGTACCGAACCGTTGGGGAAAGGTTCAAGCTCAGGTATGGAATGCGGGTAAATTTAAGAAGCAAGGTGACCCTTCCCACCTGTTGCGTTGGTAAAATGTTCTCAGAATGAGTACACCCAGTGCTGCAAGGGTTCTGTGAAATCGGCCCGCTGCTCTGTTGCTGGCTGCCGGAGGATTCTCCATCGGCCCGGCCCTTCTGGAAATTAATCAGTCCTACCCGTCCAGAGCTGCAAAGGAATCTACACCCTCTGGCCACTTCTGGGACTCTAGCCCAGGAAACTAAGTAAAACGCAAGACGTATGACAAAACCACCCAAAGGCCAGTGTTCAGGATAATCAAGGTCAGTGCCACTGATGAAGACTCCTCTCCTGAACCACGGAGTAAAAAGAGAAAACTCAGGAAGGGATATTAGGGAGAGGATGGATTACAGAGAACCAGGCCCTCCAAGGGGCCTCCAGTATTCCCCTCCTTCCCTCCCTCCCTGGCCCAGGGGGCTGCCAGCCTGGGACTCATCTCTGGCGACAGCCCACGGTGGCCTGGCCTCTGGTATGAGTCCCATTGGCTGCATCCAGGCGCTGTGTCCTCCTGCCCCCAGCCCAGACCTCCCTCCTCTGACGCCTCTTAAGATTCTGCTCCTTTTTCAGGGACCCCCCCCTCCCCCCGCCCGCCACCAGCCTTCCTGTAGTCTCCTTCCTCTGTGCTCCAGGCCTCAGTTCTCTGAAGCCGCAGTGCCTAAGAACAGCAGTTTGGGGCTCCCGAGGTGCCCAGGCAGGCTTTCTGGAGAGGGGTCCCTGGAGGAGGCCAGGGGTGTCTCTCTGGGAAGATGACAGGGGCAGGTAAGGCAACTTCGGCACCGGTGAACGGAGAGGAAGCTCGCCTCCAAGAACCCCCCCCCCCCAGTGGGCTTGTGCCAGAGCCTGGCGCTCTCGGCTCCTGAAGAGGCTGCCCTGCACCTTCCTCCTTCCGCCGGCAAGCCCACCTACGGGGGAAACCGGTGGGGGGGGCAGTATGCAGTCTCGCAAGTGAGTACTTGGTGCCCAGCGCCAGCAGCGCCCGCTGCGCCAGCAGCAGGACACACTGGAACCTGTTGCCACCTCCGCACTGCAGGGCTGAGCGCAGCCAAGCCCCCCGCCCCCAGCCGGGCGGGCCAGCACTCGGGCCCCCTGCAGCGCCAGCTCTGGGCGCCAGCCCCGCCCCGCGCCCGCTCCCGGGGCGGGCTGGGTCGGGGGAGGCAGCGCTGCGCGCCCAGGCCTCACCGAGGCCCACGCGGCGGCGGGTGGAGCCAGGCCGCGCACTCGCCGCAGGGTGGGCGCTGAGCCTGCAGCTCCAGCGCCCCGCCAGGGGCCTCCGGCCTCCACCCCGCCTGACCAGTGCCCCTCGGAGGCCTCAGGGACGCCACAGCCCATAGACCCCACGCGCGCTGCGTGCGCCCTCTGGTCACCGGAGCCTCCGGAGAGCGGCTCCCCGCCTCACCCTTCACCCCTCACCCCGAAATGCACGGTTCCCGCCGCCGGGCTGTCGCGGCCCAGTCACATGGCCAGGAGCACAACTCCCAGCGACAGCGTCCCTGCCAAATCCAGGGTCTTTTCCACCAAATCCACTTTCCGCTGGGGATGGCTTTCTGCTTTTCCTGGTCGGTCTCCTCGCTGGACTGGGAGTTCCTCCAAGGCAGGAGCGGGTGTGCGCCCGCCCCAAGCTGGCCCCAGCCCCCAGTGCAGGACCTGGCAGACGCCCGGCGGCGACGGCGCTCGCAGAAGAAATGCTTGTTAACAAAGAAGTCATGAATGAATGAAACTAATTGTTGCATGAGGGAGCCCAGGAGGGTGCTGATCCCGCTTCTCCTCTCAGAGGGTCACACACATTCCCCCGCCCCACAGACACGCACGGCAACACCCCACACAGGCCTCCCCTGGTGGCACAAGCAGACAGGCACATGGACCGCAGCGGACTCCTGTCCTCCTGGAACTGACCTACTATGTGCGGGCCTGGCAACTGGCATTTCTCTGGTCCCAGTTGGGCCCCCTCGCCTTTCCTCCCCACCCCACCCGAGCCCCACATCTAAGTACAGTACCTTGCACCCCAAGTGCCTTCTTTATCTCTTAGGGAAGAGGCCAAGCCTGTCGCTGGGGAGACTCAAGGTCCGTTTAGCGAGGCGCCCTGGAGGCCTCAGGTCGGTGAGCTGCTGCCACCCAAGGTGAGCCAGAGGCACCTGGCAGGGATGCCACCAAGTGCTGCAGCCTCTAGAGCCCAGGCTCCAGGTGTCAGGGGGTGGTGGTGGGAGGGACTGGCGGATGTGCTTGGGGGTGTTGGGGGCTGTTTGCAGTGGAGTTGGGGCAGGGTGCTGGAGGGTGTAAACCCAGCAGGTGGGCATAGGTGTTGGGGTGTATGAGTGTGCACGCTGGGGATGCACGAGCTGTGTGCCTGGGTACTGGGCCAGGCTGTGGGGCGTGGGGAGTGTCAGCTGCTGGGGCAGGCGTTAGTTTGGGGGCTTCACTCAGGGGTAGGTGGATCGCAGTGTCTCCGGGCTGGGAACGTGGGTGGGGTGTCTGTAATGAGCACATGGGGAGTTGGAAACGGTGGTGGCACGGCGAGGAGAGCTATGTTAGTGCAGATACGGCAGGGATGTATCGTGTGTGTATGTGCGCGCGTCTGTGCGTGTGTGTATGCGTGCGCGCGCGCGCGCGCGCCTGGGTGTGTACGGAGGCATGGCACGGTCTGGGATGGGTGCTCGCTTGAGTTGGGGCAGTGATGGGTGCTGGGTTATGGGCTGCTGCTGCGTACACTGCAGGGACTCGGGTCTGCGGTGCGTGGTTTGTGCGTGCAAGTGGCAGGGGATGTGCGTGGCAGAGGACAGGGAGGTGCATGGGCGGGATGCGGGGGGCGTGAGGTGGCAGGATCCAGTGGGTCTCGCAGGGGCGCGTGCGTCGGCCCCGCGGGGCGCGCGCTGCAAGACTTTGGGGTGCAGGGTGGAGGAGCTCACGTCGGAGGGGGCGGCCAGGCTGGGTGGGGGTGGGGTGGGTGGGTGCCGGGGAGCCGCGTGCTCCGCTCACCTCCGCTCACCTCCTCTCACCCCCGATCCGCTCGGCTTCCTGCGCCGGCTCCGCGCGTCGCAGCCGGGAAGTTTCCGAAGCCCAGGCGGCGGGAAGCGCCACCGCCGCTGCCGCCGAGCGCCACCGGAGCCTCAGGCGGCGGCCTCGCCTGAAGCCGAGGGGCCGCCGCCACCACCGCCGCGGCTGCGGAGGGAAACTCCAAATCCCGCCTCCGCCGCCGCCTCCTCCCCTCCCGTCGCCGTCTTCTCCGCCCCCTGCCCAGGAGGGGCAATGTCGCCGGCGGCACGCAGGGAGGGATCGGGGAGGGACCGCGGCCTGCCCAGCATCTCCCTCCACCTTCCCCGCCCCCGGCCGCCTTCCTCCCACCTGCAAGACGGTGCGCTCCGCCCGCTCCCGACCTTCTGTCGGGGGGGCTGCAGCGCCGGACCCCAACAGCCCCGCCGCGTGGGGGCCTCAAGCTGAGTGGGGTGGGAGACCCAACCTAGGCTGGACCTGGGCTGGAGGAGGGCCGCTCCAAAGAGTCTACGCTGGCTTCTACTTCCAGCCAGGGAAGCCAAGGGGCCCGTGGAGGAGCGGGCACAGCTTGGCCCCTAGGGCCACCTCCTACTGTCACACAGGAGAGGGCACAAGGTCTATCTGGCAGAACCATAAATGCCCCCCACCCCCCCCACCCCCCACTCCCAGGTCCCTCTGCACTGCCTTCTCCCATTCTCATGTCTCAGACTCTGGCTAATAATAATAGCGTTTGAGCATCAGTGCCTGGAAGGGGTGGGGCCAGGACGCTGGGGGAGGGCCTGGGAGGGGGCCTTGTCATCAGGCCCACTTTGCTTTCCTCTGCAGCAAAGGCCATGAGCATCTCTGTCCAGGACCTCGTTTTGTGCGTACACCAGTCTGGGAGGCGGAGGGGACCATTCGGTGGGCTAGCTAGGGAGACTGAGGCAGGGGCTTCCTGGAGTCCCACAATGGTGTAGCGGCAGAGCCCAGCTGGGGGCAGAAGCCCCGGCTGAGTGTAAACAG